GACAAGGGGAAAAAATGAGAACCAAGACTTGTCATGTAGAGGTACAAATCCCAACAATGAATGTAACTGTACTGTATCCCTAAAATGTACCAATAAACTCAATTAAAGCTGAAAAAAAAGAAGAAAATAATAGCAGTCATTGGGTATTCTTAATTCTCAGGGTGTGGTACTAGATAATAATATTTCTAATTTTTAAATATCATATCTGTACTAACCCTATTATTATATAATGCCTTAGATGTATAGGAGAGAAAAAAGAAAAAGAATAAAATGCCATCTTCAAAATACTTTTATAAAAAATACTCTCTATCTGTTTCATAATTAGTAATTACAAGTGACTTAAAGATTTAGATTCTGGTATTTTCTGTGATCAACTATACAAATGGCCATCCATCTTCTAAGGCTCAAGTATGTTTAGTTGAAGACATATGAGACATGAGGTCCTTATTTCCATAGATCATCATCACAATTAGGCAAATAATACAATTCTGACATAAAATACACCAGATAAGAACATGATTAAATATTTAGTTTCTTTAGCAGTTTCAAGAGCTCTTCCTGTAACAGAAAGAGTAGCTAGCAATGAGCAGTAAGTGAAAACAGGGCCACAGGAGGTCATTTTCATTAAAAACTTTGAACTATAGCATAAAAGTTCATTTATTAGAGTTTTGTTAGCAAGTAATTAATATTGTCTTACCTGTGAATACAAATAATACTTCAAGAATTATGTGGCAATACTGACAAACAATTATTTTTGAAATCATGAATAAATAACTTGGTAGATCAGTAAAATATCCTTTTAAAAATGAGACTTTAGGGGCCGGGGATTTAGCTCAGCGGTTCGGAGGCCTGCCTTGCAAGCGCAAGGACCCGAGTTCAATCCCTGGTATAAAAAAAAAAGAGACTTTGTAATTAGAACTTTTCAAATTTAAGATAGTCATAATATATAAAAATATTTCATCAATGTCAAACTTATGGAATTAAGTTATGATCTAAATTCTTATTTTCCTAGAAGTTACTTGCTAAAAGGTGTAGAACTTAACTATTGTAAGATCATGTACCCTATGTTTGAGTTATAATGAAATAGAGGAAAATAGCTATAGAAGATGAAGCCCAAGCCCCAAGTCCAATTCATTTATTTTGACTTCAATTTATATCCTCATTTATAAATTATGAAAAATTTGTTCTACTGCTATAAACTAGTAGTTGCCAGCCAGAAAGAAAGGACACCCCTAAAGGTAGAAGTGTGGCAGCCTCAGGATTTGTTGGTGGCTCACAATCTACTAATGAAGAGGAAAGTAGGAAACATAAAGCAGTACAAGCATTAGAAAAAATCCATAGCTTACAATGAGTGCCCAAAGCCCTACTGACATCTTAAAAAGAACCAGAGCACTGTCGAACACTCTAACAGCTTGACAATGACTGTCCAGATGCTTGACAATCCACAAGCATCATGCATTCTCCTGTCAGAGAATCCTAAATGTTTGATTCTGACACTAATGACCAAGTGAACACGGACAAAGTCAGTTTCCTCATCTGAACACAGCAAAAATAGTCTCTGCCCACTCTACAGCAGTGCTAAAATTCAAGTCAGATAACTTTTGGATTCTAATGCCTTACGCCTTAAAAAAATAGATCAGTGTATGCTTTGTGCTATATTTTCAAAAGCTTTTTATTATTTTAGTTTTTTTTTTTTTTGTAGTGGGGATTGAACTCAGGTCCTTTCACTTGTAAGGCAGGCCACCGAACTGCTGAGCTAAATCCCCAGCCCTATTTTAGTTTTTATATTTATTTATTTATTTGGTTTTTTGAGACAGGGTCTCACTATGTAGTTCAGACTGCTCTGGAACTCACTGTATAGCTCAGGCTGGTCTCGAACTCTCAGGGATCCTCCTGCCTCAGCCTCCTGAGTTCTGGGATTACAGGCATGCGCCCCCATGCCTGGCTAGTTTTTACTTTTGGAGTATAAAAAGATACTTTGTACTCTTTTTATAACAGGAATATTACTTAATGTGGCATGCCTTTACCCCTGAAAGTTCTAGATACTTGAGATCTTTTGAATATTCTTATTTTTCTGCTGGCAAGAATATGAAATTTGAATCAATAAACATTTAGGGGGGACTGAGCTCTAGTTTATGCTGTCTGCTGCCTTAAGTGTCAAGAAAGATCAGCACTTGAGCCTGGGCCAACATTATTCATTAGCGATTAGGCCTTGTACAGTCACTTAGCTGAACAATTTTAACCACAGCTGTCCTTTTATGTTCTGGTTTAGCTTTCTAGGACAGTTGTTAATATAATTCTTTTATTTGACAAGAATTTATTTTTATGGCTCACTTCCACATAATCAGAAATTCATACTACCACGAGGTAGGTATTAACCCTCCCCTTTATGTTACAGAAAAAACAGGAAAGTAGAAACAAGTTAAAAGTCTTGTCAAACCACACAACTACTATACAACAGAAACATGTCTCTAAGGGTAAAAAGTTAAATTGCAATAGCCTTGTGCATATATATTATAAAAAACAGTTGTCCAAATTACCAAGTGCTAACATGATTGTTTGAATACTCCTTCTAATCAAGATGACATAAAATGTTAATTTACTTAAGTAAAAGAAACTGAGAAATGTAATACTGAAGCTTTCCACTGACTCAGACAACAACAACATGAACTTTTTTTTTTTTCCAAAAAGCAGAATAGGGTTTTTTATTCTTTTTTTCTTTTCTTTTCTTTTTTTTTTTTTTTTTTTTTTTTTTTTTTTTTTTTTTTTTTTTGTGAGCAAGTCTCATTTTAGGATTGACATTTTGAAGTTAACACCTCATGCAGAGAAAAGTTTGCAAATATGCATCATTTTGGTTTGGATGAAGGATCACTTCCAAAAGCACAGCAACTTAATGCTTTACACTGTGAAAAACATATTTACAATGGAAAATATACAAGTAATTTTAAAAAAGTAAACACTGAAAGACTTACTCTTTGAAGTAAAATGTAAAAATGAAATAAAATAGTCCAATATTTTCTCTTGTCTAGGAATTTTAGCCTTAAGGCCACTGGTCTGTTTAATGCAATTGCCAACATTTCGTGGATAACTTACAATGGAAGAAAAATACTGACATTTTGTAAAACTAATATTTAGAACACAAGCTATGCACCAGTCTAGTTAATCAGATCTATAAGGAGATGCACATGATTTAAAAGTTATCTGATTTCTCTAATTTCTTTACATTATGTCTAAATCTAGAAATGTAAGCAAGAAACATTTGATTAAATATGAATGTGAAAATATAGCTTTATCATGGGAAAGAGAAGCTTCTATAGATGTCTCAAATTTTTAACAAGCATGTTTCAAAATACTAATCACTAATTAAAATTATTGCAAAAGCGAAAGATTTTCATATAACCTTAAAAATAAATCACTGTTAGCTGTGATACTGACACACACATTTATAGTTTCAGAGTCCACTGGTTCCAAAGCATATGAGAGCAGTTATTTGTAATTTAGATGAAGTAGCTTTTCATTCTTATACTGAGCAGCTTTACTCCAGAAAACACCACTACTTCTGAAATAATCATCTCAGTTTTGATAACTAGGGTTTAATCATACTCTTTTCCCCCTGGTTCATACAGACAGGTTTAAGCTTTGGATCTGAAACCTTGTAATGTTAATCAGTTTGGAATTTTTTGGCATTTGACATTTGAAACATGAAAAATACAAAGAAATTCTGTAAGAGCAAAGTCTTAAGCATTTAAAACAAACTCCCCTCCCAGCTTTGCCAAAATCGTTCTGTGAACGGGTTTCTAGTTAATGCTTCTTGGAGTTATTTTTGGATTGTAGTTTTATCAAATGCAAGGGGAATTGTCCTTGGGAATTTACTCTTTTAGCTGATAATATCAAATAATATTTCATTTGAGAATATTTTATTATAAACGGCAGCAGCTCTCTAGCAGTGGGGAGTGGAGTGAAGAAAACCAACTGTAGAAAATTCCAAGTTTCAGAAGACAGCTCTTAAAAAAGAAGTTCAATTTCTCCCTTGCACAATGTCTTTCTTTTTACTCACACTTCCAATGGAACAGGATTTCTACAGCTCATATGGTTTTGCACAAAGACTTAACAGGGTCACTTGAAACATTTACAGATGAGAGAACTCATAAACCTCCCTCTGAAAGATATTTACTAAGCACCACTTACTCCTGGTCACAAATGTATTCAAGTGGCTATACAGTACTTCTAAACAAGTTCTTCCTTTTTCTTTCTTTTATTCTGTATCATATCTTAAGAAGACCAGGCCTTGCCAAAGTCAAAGTAGCATTAACTGGCTGGCATTTCATACATTTGCGCTTAAAATGAAAAGAGATTTTGTCCTCCATGTGGATTCTTAATTTTTTCTCTTCTATAAACTCATCACAGTTACCATGGGTTTTAATATTTGTCTGTTTTGTATAAAAGGCAAGGTTGCACAAAGGTACAAACAATGAAAGCATACCCTAACGGCTTATGAAAAGTTAGGTCCTGAACCTTCTTAGAGGATTGCTTAAATTTCTTTTGTGTAGCGTCTGGACGCGCGCACGCACTCACACGCGCGGGAGGGAGTGGGCAAGAATCAGAACACTTAAAAAAGAGGCTCCTTCTAATTCCATTCACAACCGAAGTCTAAAGAAAACTCTCAGTTATCTTCCCTGGAGGAAAGCTAGAGATGTTTCAAAGACAGTTTTGTTTAAGTGTTCTTGCCCTTCTTTATAGAGTAGTGTTTTCTGGAGGAGATGGGCGATCCCAACCCACGCGGAGCTGGCGTGTGCGCAGCGGGACCCGGTGGGTGGAGAGTACACGATTCTGGAAGGGGCTGGGGAAGGAGTGCAGCGCCCCTTCCCGCAGCGAACGCTGCACGGAGAACCCCAAATCTGAAGCTTCTGCAAGACTCCGGCAAGAAAAACTGTCCCTCCCCTCTCCAGAATCCCGGAGGCGCAGAGGGCGGTGCTGCCCCTGGCCACGGCCGCACTGACCTGTGTAACAGGACGCGCTGCACAGAATCCAGGTCCTCCAGGTTCCGGGGGGCAGGCTTGGGGATGTTGGCCTTGCCGGACTGAAACATGCCCCCTCCGGAATCGCTGCGAAGGCGCTTAGCAGGTAACAGAGGGATGGATGGTGGAGCCGGCCGCGAGCTCCCAGCGCCGCCGCGGATCGGAGGCTGAAAGCAGCGCCCGCCAGACCGCAGCTGCGCAAAATCCTAGGCGCGAAGGCGGCGATGCCAGGGGCCACGGTTCTTCCAACGCGCGAGGACCTTGGAGCCTGGGACCCCAGGGCAGGAGACGCTGTACTGGCGCCACCCTCGCTGGGGCTCGGCAAGTCCAGGGTCCCCCCGCTTCCACGGCTGATTCCCCCACCGCT